CATCCTCCTGCATACTTTAAATCATCTCTAGATTACTTATAATAACTAATGCAATGTAAGTGCTATGTAAATAGTTTTATACTATATTGTTTAGGGAAGAATGACAAGAAAAAAGTCCGTACATGTTCAGTACAGATGCAACCATTCATGTTTTTTCCAAATATTTTTAATCCGTGTTTAGCTGAATACATGGATGTGCAGCCCATGAATACAAAGGGCCTACTACTGTTCATTTATTAGAAGTTTCTTTGTGTAAGTATGTTTGTGGTAAATTCTTTTCATTTTTGCTCATCTAAATATTCTTCTCTTATGCTTGAAAGATTGCTTTCCTGGGTATACAACTTGTTACTGTCAGCACACTAAAGATAAGCTTCAATTCCAATTTTCCCTTTATCTCCTTCAAATAATCTAATTAGATATATCCCAGTTTCTTAACTTTTCTCTCTAATTTTCTTTTTTTCATTCTGCGTTACATTTTGGGTAATTTTTTCAGATACCTCTTCCAGTTCATTAATTCTCTCTGCAGCTGGGTCTAATCTATTGCTTAACCCATCCATTCAATTTCTAATTCCAATAATTATATTTTTCACTTCTAAAATTACTACTTAATCCAAATAATGCTATTCATCTTTGAGAATATCATGTTCCTCCATCCTAATTTCAACATTCTTTTTTATTTCTTACACATAATAAAAATACTTACATAAGGATACTTCAAAAATTTCATGGAAACATTTTTATTATTATTATTATTTATTTATTTTTTTGATGGCTGGCCACTATAGCCATCAAACCCTGGACCTTGGTGTTATCAGCACCATGCTTTAACCAACTGAGCTAACTGGCCAGCCTTCATATTTTCTCTAAATTTTATTTTTCCACAAACTTTTTGAAGTGCCTTCATATTATGTTTTATACCTGATGAGTCCAATATCTGCAATCTTTGAGATCTAATTCTACAGTCTGTAGTTTCTGCCCTTTCTCAGGATGTCTTATTTCCTTGTGTGTCTAGTGATTCCTGATTCAGAACTCATTTTCCTTGAAACTTTCCCTAAAGAATTCTGAAGCCTTGTTTTCGGGAGTATTCTTCCAGATCTGATTTGTGTTTGCTTCTGCCAGGTGCCTGGCATATTTTCATTTCTTTCTATTTTTGCCCCCATCCATGTAATTTAAGCCCACCTAAGTAATATGAGCACAGGCTTAAAATGAGAAATTCTTAGGTAAACATTTCTTCCTCATTCTACCTAAAGCCAAGGATGAAACAGACAACAATCTTTACTGTCTCCTTCTACACTAGGGGTTCTTATTGACTGTTTATCCCCTGAGGATATTATTCTTTGTAGATCCTGACTTTATGTGAGAGTTTTCTAAACGCCTTTCTTCCTGTTGGGGCCCAAGGTGCTATGCATAGCATTTCAGTAGACTGATTATACATATATTTTGCCTGACTTTAATTTAGGCCTACTGTTCCTGTATAACTCATTAAAGCATTCCCTCCTTTGAACAATAAATTATACAGTTACCTACTGAGAAAAACATTGTTTTTCTCTACACTCTCACAGAGAAGACTTCTAACTCAGCTGTTGGGGTTTTTCCCCTACACCAACCAATTGCCTGACATTACCTGGGTGTCTTACAATTCAATTCTGACACTATCTACCTGCAGATAGCATCAGATCCCACAGATTAAGGGCTCAGTCCCACAAGACTGCTCCACTTCAGATGCCAATCACACGTCCAGGCCCCCGGTACTTCTGACCAACCAGCTATAAATCCAGGGTTCCCATGACCCCCTGCTTGGGTTTGATAGTTTGCTAGAATGACTCGTGGAACTTCAGGAAACAACTTAAATATTTACCAGTTTATTAAAAAGGATACAACTCAGAAATAGTCATATAGAAAAGATGCACAGGGCAATGAATGAGGGGAAGGCTGTGAAGCGCCCATGCCCTCTCTGGCGCAGCACCCTCTGGGCACTAGTGGCATTCACCAATCCAGAAGCTCGTCAAATATTGTTCAAGAGTTTTTCTGGAGCTTGATCTCCAGCACCCCACCCCTCCAGAGGTCAGTGGGTGAGGCTGAGCCGTAAATCTCTAATCACTCGGTCTTTCTGGTGAGCAGCCCCATCCTGCGACTATGTAAGGGCCCCACCCTAAGCCACCTCATTGGCATAACCTCAAGTATGATCCAAAGAGGCTCCTATGAATAACAAAATACACTCCTGTCAGGGAATTTCAAGGAGCTAGGTGACAAGAACCAGGGACAAAGACTAAATATATTTTTTAACGTACCACCTATCTTTAAATCAGGCTTGCAGCCACCAGGGATAAACAAATCACCCCAAGGGCTAACCCCATATCCAGCTGCTCTTTGCTTATCCTTCTGAATTTACACTCTATCATCCACTCTATCATCCTTTCTGGCCTCTGTTTAATTATTTTACGGACTGACCAATTATCCTTTCAAAACATTGAAAACATTTTTTATTCAGCACTTTTAGGTATTCTTTACAGGGTTGATTTTATTTTTCTTTCTTCTAAATGTCTTAGTCCATGATATTCTTGGAAATACAAATGATCTTCAACTTACAATGGTTGGACTTATGATTTCTCAACCTTACGACGGTGCTTTTTAGCTGTGTACATTAATGGTGAGCACCCATGCGACCATTCTGGTTTTCACTTTCAGGATGGTATTCAATAAATAACGTGAGATAGTCAACACTTTATTATGAAATAGGCTTTTTGTTAGATAATTTTGCCCAACTGTAGGCTAATGTAAGTGTTCTGTAATTATTTTTTTGTTTTGTTTTTGGTGGCTGGCTGGTACAGGGATTGAACCCTGGACCTTGGTGTTATCAGTATCATGCTCTAACCAAGTGCGTTAACTGGCCAGCCTTCTGAGCACGTTTAAAGTCAGCTAGGCTGCTATGATGTTCAGTAGGTTAGGTGTGTTAAATAAATTTTGGGGGCTGGCTGGTTAGCTTAGTTGGTTAGAGCATGGTGCTAATAACAGCAAGGTTCAGGGTTTGGTGTCTCTACCAGCCAGCTGCCCCCACCCCCCCCCAAAAATACATTTCGATTTGGGATATTTTCAACTTACAATGGGTTTATTGGGTTGTAACCCCATGGTAAGTCGAGGAGCATCTATACTCCTATTTATTTCATTTATTTTCCTGATATCTAACAAGTACATGACATACAGATGGAACTACATAAATGCTGATTGAAAGAACAAATAATGCAGACACTTCTATTTTAAATACTTTCAAATATTTTGGAATAAATTTCAAATGCAGTAAAAAACTAAAGTTCTTTCTTTTTAACATTATGATTTTATTCCTAGAATGGTAAACCACAAAAATATTTTGAGAGGAAGAAAGCACTTTATGGACAAAGTAGTTTATTATGACATAATTTACATTTGTGAAAATTTGAAAACAACTAAGGTTAAGGGGGTGGCTAAGTAATGGACTATTATGGATATAATAAATATGATGTTTATTAATACTATGTGGCAGACCCAGAAAGCACTTATGATATAAACTACATGAAAAGCAGAAAACAAAACTCTATGTGCATTACAATTATAAATAAGACATATTATGCACATGTGGACATGGACCAGAGGCCAACTGGAAAAGACTAACTTATCAGGAAAGCAAAATTTGGTATCCTTTTTAAAGCTTGCTATTACTGTTACTGTAGTGCCACATGGGCAATGAATATAAACTTTAAATCAAAAAAGCTCTCTATGGATGCATGATACTCTATGGATCCTTCTTTGATACAACCTGAGAGGCAAATGCACTCAGTTTCAGACCTGCCTGTGTTCAAAACCATGATCTGTGGCTAATAACTGTGGTCAATTCTTCATTCCTCCCATGCAGGTAGGAAACTGCTACACGCTAGGCTCAGCCACATGATTACTTTGGTCATGGCACATTAGCAACAATGACGTGAGGCTTCCTCATGGACTTCTTCTTCACCTCTGCCTTGCCATGAGAACACACCAGACTGGCCTGTTGGCGGATCACAGCAGACACTAGAGTACAGCTGAGTTGCTCCAGCCACCAGCGATCCTATCTGAAGCTGGCCAAAGACACCTCGTTAAGCCAGTGAAACCCAGAGAACTGGGTTGCTAGAGCAGCCTATACACTCATCAAGTAGGTACCTGGGTTTCAATTTAAGCCACTATTAGAATAGTTTGTTACGCAGCATTATCTCTAGCAGTAGATAACTGATACACCCTGTCTTCTTCATCTCTCTACAGACTGGTCCTACCACTGTGTTTGGTACCTAGAGACCAATGATGAAGGCTTTCCTGTCACTGTCCCTTCTCCATAAGGGAGAATGAGACATTTATGCTTGCATCCCCCATCCCCTGCCCCCCTATACCTATAATGCAAGGGTCCTTCAAGAAGTTCATGGAAAAATTTGTACTGTCTTTCAATCCTATTTTTCCATGAACCTTTTGAATTACCGTCACAGTACCTGCCATATTTTTTTACCCCTATTTCCTTACCTGTTTCTCTCCTCCTCTAAGCCATGAAGGACTTGGAGGTAGTAAGTTAGTTATTCACATCCACATCTACAGCACCTGGCAGAGAGCAGGCCCTCAATAAATGTCTTTGATTGAATTAAATGAATGGATTTGGAGGGCTGATGTGAAAACCAAAACTGCCAGCAGCGGATGGTAGGAAGCATAACTACACAAGATGGTTCTTATGCTAGGAGGCTTTATGCTTTCCAGAAAGCCCAAACAAGGACAGGAAGAAAAAAAAAAAAAAAAAAAAAAAAAAAAACACAACAAAGAAGGAAAGCAGTCTTTCTGCCTTTCTGTGTGCTTATCTCTCTCACCACACTGCACACAAAACTCACAGCCATCCAGACACTGGAAAGGTCTCCCCAGCCCAGCTTCCCTCTGCCAACTGCGGGCCCCTCACCTACCGCTTGGGATGTGCCCCCCACCCCTGTTTGGCCTGTCTTGATCCTACCTTTAGATCAGCCACATCTCTGTAGCACTGCTCGGAGCGGGTGTGGTCTGACAGCTGTACATTCCAGAAGCAGGGGAGCTGATACACGAGGAAAGGGTTTTGTTTGATGACAGCATTGAAGATATCCTGAGGGATAAAAGCCAAAGACACAGTCAAGACAGTCAGGTGGGCTCCACTATGGTTTTGGCTCTCAAGGCACCACGGCCTATGAAAGGGCTCCTCTCAAGCCTCCCACTCTGAACACAGGCCGGCTAGCACTGTGTGACACTCTCCTGCCTGTTATCTCTAGGAACCATGCAATGATGTTTGGATAGAGATCAGGAAACGCCCCAGGCTGACTTGAAGCTCAGATCCTGCTGGTCCCATAATGCACCATCCAGCGAGCTTATGCAGGGTAGACAGGGAGTGTCTGCTACCCTCGCCAGCTATAATAAATGAAGTCTCTTTTCCTCCTCTTGGCCCATCCTATCCAGAAGCCCTGGGTTATCCATCCTGAGCTTCCTGAAGAGGAAACTGTGTGGTGACAAGTGGCCTTGCTCATTCCGGGGGCTGAAACAGATTACAGATCCTTCCTGTTAGCAGCTCTGCCTGGAGCTTTCAGTGCACCTGGTGATGGATGCTCCCTGGATTCCTGCAGCCCACGGCACCCAGCATACATCTTCCCCATCTGGAAGTCCAGCTCTGGCTGTCTAGGGAGGCTTTACCCCTCTGGGGCTCTGCTGCAGGCTCTCGCACCAAGGCACACTTACCAACTGTCCGTGGACAGGTGGTCTGGGAGGTGAAGGCTGAATACACTATCCCCACTGGACATGGACATACACTTGCTAGCTTTGAGGACCTGTTCAAGGCATTGTGACCTGACTTAAAATATGAGGATGGTGGACAGTTTTCCCCTAGGTTTAAAACAGCTACATGGGTAAATTTTGTGCTTTTTTTTTTTTTTAAATAGCTCATTCATTATACTATATCTCATGTCTGAAAAAGGAAATCAAGTTGCTGCTGGCTGCTTGAGAAAAAACTGAATAATAATGTTTAAAAAACAGTAAAATAACCTACAGAGTTTCTTGTTTCTGCTGTATTAGAATACTTTGCAGGAATTTGGTGAATCAAGAAATTGAAGATTGAAGAAAAACATGGAGAGAGAGCTGCTCTTTACATGAGAAGAAAAGGATGAAATGCAGAAAACCGAGACATCTTGCATCCCAAGATGGCCATGTACACCACAGCAAGATCAAAATCTCAGTGAGTGAGCCCATTAGACCTGAGGCCGAAAGACTTGAGCCCCCTGACTTTCCTGCCTTTTCTAGTGAAAATGAGAAATGGGCTTTGGGCTTTTTTAAAAAAAATATTTGTTAACAGTTTGGTGGAGTTCAGGGACTTTTTCAGATTTCCTGGATGAAAGGGTAGTTTCTCCATCCAGGTGGTTTGTCCTTTCTATTAAAATGCATTTTCATGAGTATACAGTCACCAGCACAGGATCTACACAAAAGGCTTTGCTTTAAAAGTTAGCCTCTTTTAGCAAGAGAGACAAATGAATCTTGTCTAGGAAATACACTGTGGCATCCTGGGGTCTCAAGAAGCAGGCACCGTGCATTCCACGCTGCTGATGACGATGGAGACCTCCTCTTAACACAGTGGGCTGCCATCTATTTATGTTGCTATTGTTGTTGTTATTATTATCATCATCATCATCATTATTTTGGCAGCTGGACCTCAGAACGAACCCTGGACCTTGGTGTTATCAGCACCATGCTGTAACAAACGGGGCTAACGGTCAGCCCTGCCATCTACTCGTAATTCTTAAACTATGGGCTCTACGAGGCCAGGAACCGCTTCCTTCATTTACCTCTGCCATCCTTTTTCTGAACGTGGCCTCTGGTATAAATGGTGTTCAGTGAAAGTCTGAATGAACAAATAAATGGATGAAGGAAATGAACTCATGAGTTAAGCTGTTGTTTTAGACTGGCAAGTATAATGCAGTCCTATCAGAGTGCACAGAGTCACACAGTAGGTAGAAAAATCATTCAGACCCCTCTACTTAGAAGTTTCTTTGAGAAACAGAACCAGGGCACTCAGGATGACTGTACCTTGTAACCTGGCCACTCACCTGGTCGGCTAAGGATGTGGACAGCATGCCCATGAGCTCCCTCTCTGCAGTCAGCCTCCACATCTGCTCCCATTTCATCTTCCGTAGCTTATCCAGAAGCAACAGGATCACCCCTGGGCATGGCACAGGACAGTGCAGCAAAAAACAACAGTTAGAGCCAGGCACAACTGTTCACCCAAGACGTCTTGTGTGAGAAGAGGCCTAAGCACGGCTGCAGGTAAGTCTGCCTTCTAAAAGCTCCTCTGGAGAGAATGAGGCTTCACCACATGAGGCACACGTTTTGGAGATGAACACACCTGGGTTCAAGCCCAGGCTCTGCCAGTCACTTCATATGAAACTTTAAACCCTCTCCCTGAAATATCCTCGCCATATGGAGAACAGTACAGCAGCCCTCAAAGGGCTGTTGCAGGGATTAAGTGAGATGGTCAAAAAGTCTAGCACTTTCTGGAGATGAACAGTGGTGATGGTTGCACAATCATGTGAATGGACTTAACGCTGCTGAAGTGTACACATAAACATGGTTAAAATGGTAAATTTATGTTATGTATATTTTACCCTAATAATAGTAATTACAATAATAACAATAAAAAGATCCTAGCTCTGTATCTGATACATAGTACATTCCTTTTACGCATCAGGCTCTCACCTATGTTTTTTCCCAGAGACATAACAACCTACCTAGGTTTAGGTGATAGCCGGTATTTATACAATATATGCCATTTATCTTTACAGACAAAAAGCAGCTCCTCAATGATTTTATTCTGGGTACATCTTTGCCAATTTACTTGACAATTACTGACAAGCCACATGGGCTTGTCTCAGCATTCCTGATTTCACGAGGGTCTTCTTTGGACCATCTACAGTGAGCACATAGTCAGCTACAGTGAATGCAGCACTGACCTTGGGTCCTTAAGATGAGCTCTGAAAGCCTCTGAGTTAATAAGCAACTAATAATAAGACGTTAGCTCCTCCTCCTTGCCACATTTTTTTTTTTTTTTTGGTTAGTTTTTGTGGGGAGGGACCTGGGTGAACGGGGATTGTTCAGGGAGGGAAATTTCCAGTGCATATCCTTTTGTATTTTAAAAAATGTCAAAACAACTAAATGTATTACTCAGGAAAAAATAAATTAATTAATTGAACTCTAAATAGAAAAGTTCGTTTTGGCTTAGCTTAGAAACAGCTTAGAAGCGGCTTAGAAGCAGCTGTCTAGCACCAGGTCAGTTAGAGTGTGCAGAGAAGACGCAAAGCACAGAACATGGGAAGCCAACAGAATTTCCCTGCAGGCCACTGCAGTTAATGTGGTAGTTTTGGCTTAGCTTAGAAACAGCTTAGAAGCGGCTTAGAAGCAGCTGTCTAGCACCAGGTCAGTTAGAGTGTGCAGAGAAGACACAAAGCACAGAACATGGGAAGCCAACAGAATTTCCCTGCAGGCCACTGCAGTTAATGTGGTAGCACCAAATGGGTCCCCAAATCAATTCTCCTCAGCATGCTTATCTCAGCAGAATGGTTAGTGGAGTAAACCCCAGGCAGCTGAAAAATGATTTTATTTGATATCTAGTACATACATTTCTAAGATTGCAGGAAAGAATCTGATTCCCCCAAATCACACATAAATGTCAACTCTTAAGATTTTTACTTATTTCAGTGATGCATATTTGGAGAAAAAGAATATTCATCATTTAGTGAAGAGTGTTTGGTCAGGTAGAGTTGAAATAAAAAATACATATTTGTATGGTTATGGGAAGAATGGAATATGACACAGAGATCTGAACTTTTGAGTCAGAGGGGTAAATTACATGTTACACATCTCTTTGGTGTTAGGTTTTTTGCACATATCATTTTCCTTAATGCTCCCAAGATGTCTACAAGATAGATTTTCTCAGCCTCATTTTATAGGTGGAGAAAGCGAGGGGCTAAGTTAGACACTTGTCTAATGCATAGTTTGAAAGTAGCTACACCAGATCCAAACTCAGGTCTGGCTGACTCTAGAGCTGGTGCTTCTACAGACCAGAGCCCCAGCAATGTCACTTGGAGCCACAGGACTCAGTCCAAGACTTCTTTTTTGATTCTCAGTCTCTATATGTATGAAACAAGGAAAGTGCTACCTGGTCCTGTTCAACTCAGAAAACTGTCGTGCCCTCTTGTTTAACCACTGGTTCTCCTAGGGAAAACCAAAAACAACCTTAACTGGTAGTGTGTGCCCATTTCCGTGGTGTAAAGACTCCCATCGTGACTAGTTTCTAGCTAGCAATGGGATGTCATTGAACACTGAGTAGGGAAGAAATGTGCACATTGGCCCTCCTGAGCCAGTGCAGGCTAGCTCTAGTGCACACTGAAAATGCTCCCCAAATATGGAGACATTCTTAGAAACAGTAAAATTCACCACACACATGCTACTTGATTGTTTCTTTGGGGAAGAAAGGAAAGAAACATTTATAAAATTAAAAACCAAGACAATATAGTGAAGTAAGTCACTGGTGACTGATTCAAGAAAACAGATTTCAGTCAAACATGTGAAAGAAAATTTCATTAAACCTTATTGCAGAAACTAATTCTAATCAGGTGGGATAGATGCTCCAATATAGAGAAAAATGGGCAGAGTTGGAGGTGGAAGCTATAAACAATGATGAAAAATATAAATGAACATTTTGAAGCCTCTAGAGGGGTCCATGGTAGATCTGTCAGTCTGTGGAGACCGAGCTGAGAATTGATGCGTTTAAAAGGTGTTAAGACTTGGCGAGCCCTGAGTGGCAAACGTGATTCAGCACTGTTTTGCCAGGCTGTTTGCAAAGAAGGGGGTGACTAAAACAGCAGATGAAATGGGGAAATGCAGGGCCATTTTTCCAGTTACCCAGCCTTTGCTTTTGTGTCATTTTAATTTTTAAAATTATGAACTATTTCAAACCAACAGAAAAGCACAGAGACTAACAAATACCCAGCACCTACATGAAATAAATGCTAATAGATTGCCACATTTGCTTTTAAAAAATAAAACATTACAGATCAATCAGAAGTCCCTCTATCCCATCCTACCTCCTCTCTTCCTCAGAGGCAACCTGTACCCCGTGGTGGCTGCATCTCATCTCTATGATAGGAACAGGTGGTGTTTCTAGTGTGTTCTGTATCACACATTTTCTATTCTAACTCACCTCTTCACCCACCGTTATGTCTTTAAGATTTAACCATGTCAGTATTTCAATATCTATCTAGCTTATTCTTTGTAATCACTTTATTCATTTTATAATATACTACAATTTATTTCTGCATTTCCCTACCAAAGGACGCTTTGGTTGTTTCTCATGTTTTTGTTGTTAGAAACATCCTAATTCTGATTCACGTCCGTTGAGCACATGCATGAGAGCTTGGCTAGGGGACAGCCTCCAAACTTGTACAGGTTGCTGCATTTAAGATGACTTTTTCATCTCTTCCTTTATTTATTCATTTGCTCAACAGTTATTTATGGGACACCTACTACGGGCGAACTAACGGAAATACACCTGTCCTTGTTTTTCTTCTCTACTTTTCCCAGTCCTCATGAGTTTTATGCAAAATATTAATTAATTCAGCATATATTTACTGGAGGTGTAACATTCCATCTTTGCTGCATCCTTTTATGGAAACACAATGATGGGTGAGTCTGTAGGACACGCTCACCATTACGATTCAGTGTGACGTGTACAAACAGTGAGAACGTGCGCTGCTTATGAGGGGGCTCAGAAAGGAGGTGGAGGTCGCCTGGGCTAGGATTTGGTCAGGCAGACAAGGGTGGGTGGCAGCGTCTGAGGAAACAACATGGACAAAGGCATGGGAGTAGGAGACAGCATGGCAAGACTGGACTACGCAGGAACCAGAGTGCGACAGTTAGATGGTTTAAATCAAATGCAAATGCCAGGATGAGAGCCTGGACGGGCCAAACGGGGGGCGGATCTGCAAGGACCTAGTATCTGTGCAAAACAGTTGCTTTCCAACCATTTTCATGTCATTTCCAATACAGAAAATGATATTCTTATCACTTGGGGTTATAAGAAAGAGCTGTGGACAGAATGATTGATCCAAGGCTTCCAGCTGCTCCAGCCCCGACCCAAGTGCCCCAGTTGCTGGGGGGATGACTATTTTGGCATGTCACCCATGTGTGGCACACTGGTTGGGAAGCCCTGCTGAGGACAACTGGGAGCCAGTGAAAAATTTTGAGCAAGGGAGTTCCTATAACTGGATCTGTTTTAGAAAAACCAACGTAAAAGGTTGCTTTATCACATCATTTCACAAGATCGAAGGCCTCCAGTATCCCAGGGTGGTCTAAAGAACAAGCCATATCCCCTTGGCTATGGCCAGGCCCATCTGAGTCTTGCCACAATTTGATTCTCTCCCCTCTCATCAGACCACCCCTTCCAGCAAAACTGGGATAGGGCATGCTGCACCCTCCCCTACACCTCTGCAAACTTGATGAGCCAACACTCAGGCTGGTTTTCCCTTGGGAATCTCAGAAAGTTTACTAACTATACCACTTGCTGTTCCTCGATTCAACCAAGACCCAGAATCAAACAAACAGAACAACTCACAACATTTATGAACATCACTCCCAGCTCCATGAGCCCCCTCTGATCTCACAATGTTTTTAGAAAGCGGGCAGATCAGACATTATTACCGACTTTGTATAGATGTGGAAACTGAGATGCTGAGAAGGGACATGACTTTTCCAGTGTCATGGTGCTGCCGAGTGCTTCCTACTACCCTGTATGGAGAAGGGTCTTCATCTTAGAACATTAGAACTAATGAGGACTGTGTACCTTCCATGCCAGCAGGGAATATGGGATGGCTTTCCCTCACCTAGCAATGTATTGAAAGACTGTGCCTCCTGCTACGTGAACATGAACATCATACATGGACTTGGCCAGCAAAAGCCAACAGGGGGGCTTGCAGGCCTCACAACCAGGCCATATGTGAGCTGTCCTTGACATGCCAGATGTACCAGTGGGGACACTGCCTGGCCTTTAATCATGGGTGCTGCATTCATAAGTTATTTCTTCTATGATCCATTTTGGAGATTTTTTTTTTTTTTTGGAGCATCTCCTGTGGTTCCATTCATTGGGTTAACCGGAGATTTAGCAGTTTA